AGCACCTCACATCTCTGTTTCTCTTTTCCAAGCAATTCTTCTTCCATAGCTGCCACAAACCGGAGCAGCAGAATGAACCAGTTCCAACATTTTAGAAGAGCCGCACACCCACGACCTGGGTCCACTATCACGGCTCCATAGTCATCGGAGCGGATATCTTCCATTCTTCCCTCCGCCTCGTTATCTCGTCCAAAAAGAAATGGAAGATCAATTTCTATTGTGGATTTACACAGAACAATAAAATAAATAAATAAATAGAGAAACCATGAAACAAGAGGCAGCTTGCAGTCGCAAAGTAAGAAGATCAATTCTTCTTTCATGCCTTGCTAGCACTCGAGAGCTTTTGGGCCCGAAAATCCAGAGTGTAAGCCATTCTCAATTTGTGAGCCAATTAAAACATGCGACCTGTAACCTGCAACAGCTAGCAGACAAGACTCCCAGACACACACACACGCGCGCACACACACACATATATATATATATATATATATATATATATAATATATATATATATGGTGCCTTCTACGGTACCCCGGGTGAAATCCGGGGTACCGCATACCTTGAGTATGAAAACGCTATCTAGACCTCGAATTAGCAGGATTTTTGGGCATGATACTATACCCTAACCCTTAATGAGTGAACCCTGGGTCCTAATTATCTTAATCATTACCTATAAACCCTAAGATGCTGCATTACTTTTTTTTTGCCTATATTTGGACGAATCATAACCGTCGATTATTGTTTCTAATTAAATTGATCTTGGGGTATAAGATTTAGAGAATTAAGACCTAGATTTTGATCTTTATGGGTTAGAGTATATTATAATGTCCGAAAGATCAGTCAATTCAAGTTCTAGATAGTGTTTTCTTACTTAAGGTATGCGGTACCCCGAATTTCACCCGGGGTACCGTAGAACTCCCCATATATATATATATATATGGGGAGTTCTACGGTACCCTGGCCGAAATCCGGGGTACCGCATACCTTAAGTAAGAAAACGTTATCTAGAACTTGAATTGACTGATCTTTCGGACATTATACTATACTCTAAATCTTATACCCCAAGATCAATTTAATTAGAAACAAAAATCGACGGTTATGATTCGTCCAAATATAGGCAAAAAAAGTAATGCACCATCTTAGGGTTTATAGTTTATGATTTAGATAATTAGGACCTAGGGTTCACTCATTAAGGGTTAGGGTATAGTATCATGCCCAAAAATCCTGCTAATTCGAGGTCTAGATAGCATTTTCGTACTCAAGGTATGCGGTACCCCGGATTTCACCGGGGGTACCGTAGAAGGCACCATATATATATATAATATATAAGTACATCTTTACTAGCATATATGTACTTTTCACTCCAATGGCCGCACTCAATTATGGCACCTCAAACCTCCAACCGCTTGAGCGCCGCTCCCATCGAATATAATTAAGGGAAACCAAGAAGAGCTAGCATCGAGACCATTCAGAGTGCCCTTGTATAGCACTGGGATGTCGTGTCTATTGCTGCTCTATTCGGATCGGCCTTGAATTAAAACTAACTCCAGTTGTTTAATTCAGCTTTTCGTTTCTTCTTTATGTCGTCCTAGTGCTAACGATCGAGCGGACGTCTCATGTCGAGAGTATCCCCAGCCCTAGGCCAATCAAAAAACGATTTTCCCTCTCCATCGACCCCACCTAGAAGTTGCTGCGACATCGCAACAACATATCCATCCTTGCCCCTTCCCAGCGTGGGTTGAGGTTCTCTCAATTTTTGACGATTGAGCGATGGAAATCGATCGAGCCAGATTCAACATCCTATTCAGTACATAAGACAGCAATCGAACGTCCTAAAATTGTTAGAAATCGAACAAGAAAAATTAGGGTTACTGATCTGGCTGAGTCGCGGACTAGGTCGCTCTCTTTAAGACGTTCGTGGCACTGCCTTCGTTGCGCACGGCAGACTATCAGTCGGTCGCCTCCAGGATAAAACAGCCACTCTAAATTTGTTGCTCATCGATTTTGTGCGAAAACCGGAGCTCTATGAACTCACTCTCTATCTCGCGTTTCTGCTCTCTCTGAGGTGAGGTTTAGAGGGTCTTGGGCATCTCCTATTTATAGGAGCAGAAAACCCATAATATTCCCTCTTTCTTTGGGAATAAGTCATATTTTAATTAGGAAGATAATTACTCTCATAATTAAAATATAATCTATTAAGATAATTATTCCTAATTATCTCCATAATATTCCTTTTATTAATTATCCATCTTATTTTAAGTATTATGGGAAAATACTGAATAATTAATTAGAAATTTCATTTATAGCTTTTCAAAGCTATTCATCCCAACAACTTGTCTGAATAAACACCAAATTAGGTAAATGAATACTAAATTACGTAAATTTGGTGATGATAAGTGATAACACCTCCAGGCTCCAGGGACAACAAACATTTCTCTTGTCGTAAACCCGGTGATAAGAATCAACGTATCCCAGGCCTTTTCAGCCTTCGGAATTGGGTACGAAAGCGAGGAGGGTGGACATTAAGCCCATTCATAGGAGTAGAGTCCCAAATCAGAGATTGGTGGGCTCGAGCACAAGTCCACACTAATATAAAGCCCCAACCACACAAATGTAAAGCAGTTAAGCCCATATTTAAACTTAAAGCACTAAGCCCTTTTCTTCTCTGCTCCTCCACGAACCTCAGCCTTCCCCTGCAAAACTAAGGATCGAATAAAGAGCACAAACATAGATGATAGGCCCATAGAAATTCAAAAGCACAATTGAAGCAAGCAAAAGCAATAAAGAGCAGACCCTTTTTTTTTTTTTTTACGTGGTTGTAGTATTGCATTGAGCATTGTGCAACACTGTGAACTGTATGGCTCGAACCAGGGGCGGATTTCACAAAAATATTGAACATCCAAGTGAAACTACATAATTAATTATTAGGGGTTCAAATGGTTACCATGGTAATAATCAAACCAATTAAGGTTAAATTTCATTAACCATGGAATAAAATGTCTTAACCAGACCTTCCAAATTAACACGAAACCCAAATTAACCAAACCAAAGTTTAATTGGTTTGGTTAATCGGATAATCGGATTAACCAAATAACATAACATTACATGAAAACAGTTATCCTGTTAATGAATAAAACATAAATATATGTTATTACTATCATAAACTATCATTATATATAAGCGATAATAATAAGAATAATCATCCATGATTATCATCATCATTCGAGTTAATACATCATTCTTCACCTATGCACCTAATATAGTTAGCTTACAACAAACCCTTAGCTTAAATATTAAATACATACCAATACCACTCATCAGGAAGTTAAAGCTCTCCTACAAAACACTTAAATTATACATAGTTTGAGGTGGATGTCATGGTACTGTACGTAATTCTGAAGTCTAGTAGCTGTCCAAAATATTTTGGTTTAGTAAATAGGCAGATCCATTTAATTTTCGACCCACAATGCTTTGGTTTTGTGTGCACATGGGAATAAAATAGGAAATCACGAAAATTTGGTTTGGTTGGTTGCATGGAAGTATAAATTTTTTGTATATTACGTGTATCATTAATTGGTTTCATTGGTTAGCAGTGTTGAAACCAAACCAAACCATCTAAACTAAATAAGCTAAATTGTTTAACCAAACCAAACAAATTATCCAAATTAACATAATGCTACCGGTTAATACGGTTACCACGGTAACCAATCCGTTTGAACACCGTAATAATTATGGCCAATATAGTAAATAATTATGGATGAAACATAAAGAAAGAGATTCTGTTTTCATTAGGTGTTTATAGAGATCTATAGAGGAGACAATAGAAAGATAAATTTTCCTTACTATAAACAGTTAATCAAGATGTTCATGTACTAATCCCCAAAACCCAAGGACTATTTCATAAGCTCCTATTTTGCAGCTACTCTAATCCCACATATAGCCTTTTCTTGATAACCCTATACAAGGATGTTTGGCAACCGGGAAAAGGAGGGGAATGATCAGTTTGACCATCAAAGTAATACTCTTTAACTCAACTTGGGCTATAATGGCTCTTTATTCTCATCATTATAGTGCAAAGTGAGACAACATATCTCGAGACTTTTGGTTCCTCTTCCTTTCCCATTTCCTCCTTCCTTTTGCCGCCTCACAAATCACAACTACTAATGAACCCACCTAATAACCAACGGAAAAAGACGCTATATGTACGTGTATCCGATTTAAACCGTGTTCCTATTATTATTTTTTAGTGATGGAATTACGTGTAGTTTATGAAGAATTACATATTTTTTTGCTCTATGTTTTGCCTTTCTCACGGATAATTCCTCTGGTAGCTAGCAATTTCTGTCTGTCTTTATCAGGGTTAATTGCACCGGTTGTCATTTAAATCTACTATTTGTTGCACGGTGGTCACTTAACTACGTTTTGTTGCAAGTTAACCACTTATGTCAAATAAAAGTAGCAGTGTCACTATTTCCATCATTTTAGCTAACGGCAGGTACCAAAAGATAATTTTACATGCCAAGTAGACTTGCCACATCAGCTGCAAACGATGACTCAAACCTGACCCATTAAATAAAATGGACCTCTTACAATCACTACAAAATAAAAGACAAACAGCAGGGGTTTTTTTTCACTTTTAGCGACGAAAAAAACCGTCGCTAACAACTCCGGCAGCGGTTTTTATAACCCCTGCAAAACCGTCGCAAGAACAACTGCCGCTAGGTAATGACAGGGGTCACAAAAACCGCTGTCGGGGTTGTTAGCAACGGTTTTGTTGCAGCGGTTATTTCTGTCGCTTTTGGTCTTTTTTGTGCCATCAGATGCGAATCTTTGCTGGGATCCCAGAAGCTTTCGCGACGGTTTTGGCCCCTGCTACAGACCACTCTTCAAGCACTGGGTAACCTTTTAGCGACGTTTTGGATTATTTTTAGCGACGCAATTCAGATGATTTTTAGCGACGATTTTTAGACCATTACTACAGCCTACTGAAGCATTTCAATTTTTCATAATTTCTAGAAATCCTGCACGCCTGCTGAAGCATTTCAAAATTCTCATAAACTATACATGCAAAGTACCTTCAAAGTCTACAATATTCTCCATTATCCATGCCACACAATGCTAATTTCCAAAGTACACATTATTACTACACAATACTACCAAAGTAAACTTTAACAAATATAAAGTTCCAACTAAATCCATAATATTGAACTTAGGCTTTCTTCAGAATCACCAACAGCTCATCTTTATCCTGTTACAAAGGTAACCAAAACATATAGCTCCAAATCAAATTACATGTACAGCTCCAAATCAAATTACATCATCTTATATGATATATGATATGACTCACTTTGTGCATCGCTTGTAGTTAGAGGGGACTTTCTCTCTCTTCCTGGAGCTGGAAAAATAATAACAAGACAACAATCTCAAATATATATATGCATCGAAGGGTTTAACCTGTAGGCCATTGCCATTACTTACTATATATATATAATCTAACATGCTAAGCTGAGAATGGTACTAAATTGGACTGGAATGTCAAGGGGAATAGGAATACTATCACATTCTCAAGGACAAAAAGTAACAAAAAAATTACGAGCTTGCCAAAATTCCAGAGTGGAAAAGAACAGAGTTTGCAAACAAACAGTCATAATCAGCAAGGCAGCAGGAACTTTATTTTTTTTACTTACCTTTTGTCAACCCCGTGTAGCACTTTGGCTTGATGAAGATGGTGCACGAATTGAACCCTCCATTGACCCCTTCTCCCTACGAATATGTTGCAAGGACAGTGTCTTCAGTGTGTCTACTTCCATTTGCAGCTGATCCATCCCACTTCTCAGTTCAACTACCTCACTTTTTGCTTTCGCCAGTTCATTTCTCAGTTCTATCACTTCACTTCTTAGAGCGTCTACCTCGTTAGAGTTTGATGTCGTGGTAGAATTTATTGAAGCTGAAGAACAAGAAGGCCCCAAATAAGTCGATGGCGTTGGTCCCAAACCAGCACAACGAACTGGATGGATGGATGGATGGATGGATTTTTTTTTTGTTTTGTTTTGTGTCTCATGGATTGGATGGAATATTAGACATAATTTGGTGGTTAGAAGTCTAGATAGGTTCACAAGTATACATCCTCTCTTAGTAGGGCTTTATAGTTGAGAAAATTAAAGGTCTGTCGATAATTACAATGAGATAAAAGTTTGCCTGAAGAGGCCAGGCCAAACTACGTAAATCCTATGTCTTTTTTCGATTTATTCTTTCAATATTATTGTGATTGTCTAACAATCCGCCCCTCGCATATAAGAGAAAATATGACATCTAGCTCTTGAATGTTTGGAAACATGACAACAAAGATGAGGATCAGTGGATGATTCAAGCAGTAGTGTTAAGCCTCCACATGGTAGCTAGCTAGCTAGCTATCTCCATCTCTCCATAATTAGTGATTGTGATTTGCCTAACTGGGAAGTAAACGTTGGTTCTATTGAATAATTAGTACAGGTGGGAATACACTACTTAACCCAAGTAGAAGATGACCACCTCCCAATAATTAGGTCCTTAGAGATAGAGAGTCTCTCTCTCTCCATAATGTCATAATTCATGATCAGGTGGTACTTATAACAAGATAATTAATTGTGGAGATCATTAGTACAGCAGTACTGTAGTCTATTGTGATAACCCTTTGGCTCTCTCTACCTAATTATTAAGTACCCTGTTATAAGTATTAGTATACAATACTTGGGTATCATTTGCTTCATGAATTTGAAGAACTAAGGTTTTTGTAAAATTTGGATTTTGAGAAATCCTAGCTTTATGATGGATTTTTCGTCATTATTATTTGTTCGCCAGAACAAGAAATCATAATCTTGGTGTCTCTAAGAGGAGCCTAGAGTGAGTTGATATATAAGTTATAACTATAAATCATATATATTATGAATTTGAAAGCGTCCATTGTTTGCTTATTGGATTTTGTTTATGAATTTCACTTCATTAGATTTGTTGGCATGAAAGATTTTTAGCCTTCACACAAATTTTACCTTTAATCATGGGATTTGCAAGCCCTTGGGATTCACAAATTTGAACCCTTAAAGTCTTGGACCCCATGAATTTTATTCCTCCAAAAACATATGACTTCGGGACAAATCCATAATGAATTGTATTGAGGGGTCGTTTGCTTGATGGATTTGGATCTATCATAGACTTTGTCCAAAGTCTGTTCACTCTATTGTTTGCTTCATGTATTTGATGGCAACAAATCCGTGAGCCCCATGGAATTTAAAAGATCCAAATCCATGGATTCCACGGACTTGAAAATTCCACCTCTTAAGGTGATGGTGATCACTTGATCATGGACTTTGAAGTCCATTATTTATGACCAAACTACCCCTCCTTTTATCTTTCTCATCTCATACCAATGAGAATAATTTAGGTCACTTTCACTTATTGCGCACAAATCTAATTAACCAAATCTATCATGAAATCAATGAAACAAACAATGGTATTTTACAAGTCCATAATGAACCCAAAACCTTCATACAACCATTGTATTACAAAACCCAAGTTTTACCAAAACCTTCATTTTCCAAATCCACGAAGCAAATGGCCCTTAGTCCCCATTAGGGATGGCAATATTACCCATACCCATGGGTATTTTACTATCCAACCCAATCGGGTTGGATATGGAATCCAAATAGATATTAGATGGGTAGAGTTTGATGGGTTTGTACCCATACCCATTTACTTGGGTTGGGTTGGGTTTTTAACATATGGATTTGGGTTTGTACCCATACCCAAATGCAAATTACAATTTGGTGCTTAAACTTAATAGTTATGCATATTTAGTACCTAAATTTAATTTTTTTTGCATATAAGTCCTCAAAAATATCGATGAAAAATTACATTTTAGTACCTAAAATTTTTTGGTCTCACATTTTGGTGCCTAAACTTTTCAAGTTTTTACAAATAGGTCCAATTTTTGTATGTGTAGTTAAAACACCCTAAAGTAAATGGATATCCATATCCAACCCATACCCATTTAGATAATATCCATATCTAACCCAAATCCATACACACATCACCCAAACCCTACCCATAATAAATGGGTCTACTTGGGTTTGGGCAAAATTACCCATGGGTGGGTAAATTGCCCCATATCCTCATTTTTGCTTTGCTTAATTACCTTCCACTAATTAAGATTAGTTAAGAAATAATCCATGATATAGAATTCCATGAAGTGGGGGTCCTTCCATCTTAGTTGTCTTGGGTGGACTCCTGGAGTTCAGTTACAGAGAATTGGGACCTACCCTACAGAATGATTGTGAATATTTTTATTAAAAAAAAACACAACAATAAAATATAAAACAAATTCCCCCACATCTCATACAAGTCAGAAGTCAAATTCCCCACATCTCACACCCTCCCCTTTTCCACCAGCAACATTCCCTTGTATATATATAACCTAAACCCATCCCTTGTCTAATAGCTCCAAAACACAAACAAAACACTCATCAATAATCCAGAACCCACAAAATCAAGCTTCCATTTTCAGCTCCTCTCTTCCTGCTTCACTCCAAATACACATAAACAAAGATAAAATGGAGTTCTTGGCAGCATTCCCTGATGCAGAATTCAACCTTAGTTCATACTTGTCGATGGAGGCTGACCACCACCATGGCTTCAACTCTCAAGAGCTTGTGAGTAGTTATCATCATCAGGACAACATGATGATGGCAGCCATGGGGGACGAGGTGATTACTCACCACCAGAGTCTTCTCTGCTCGTTTGCCCCGTTGGAGATGATGAACTATAACAGCACCACCACCACTACTACAACCAACAGCAGCACTGACTGTAGCGGCAACAACAGCCCACTATTCGATCCTGCTGCTCATTTTCTCAATGTTCATGATGAATCAGCCAATTACAGCAATATCCCTATGTCCATCAGCAACGGCGTCCCTTTCCCGTTCGATCAGGCTCCAGCCCTCGTTCCTTCCATGGGATGGCAGTTCAAAAGAAAACTCGATAACCTGGAATTATCCGAAATCCCCCAAAGCAAGAGGAAGTGCCAAAGATCGTCTAGCCCTAATTGCGACGAGGAAATCATGAGCAACATGATGAACAGCAGCAACAACAACAATGTGGCTTACAATAACTCTGGACGCGGTGGGCAGAGCTCGAGCAGTTGTAACTCCGAGGAGGAGATGGAATGCTCGAACAACAATGGAGACTCCTCGAAACTCGTTGCTAAGAAGCCATCATCGAAAGCCAGCCGCGGATCAGCCACCGACCCTCAGAGCCTCTACGCTAGAGTAAGTGATCGATTTGGTTAATTACTATATATTTAGTTTGAATCTGGATTCAAGGAGGGTGATTAATTACTAGTGTATGGTGATGGGATATTTAAGCTAATGATTAATTATGTTGTTCAATTTTTGCAGAAGAGGAGAGAGAGGATCAACGAGAGGCTGAGGATGCTGCAGACTTTGGTGCCCAACGGGACCAAAGTGGACATCAGCACAATGCTGGAAGAGGCGGTTCATTATGTCAAGTACTTGCAGCTCCAGATCAAGGTGATTAACTAACATTAATGTTCTTGATTAGAGATGATTAATGACTGATTATTAGCTGGATGATGACACATCTCTAATATATATTTTTTTCCCCCCTAATTTGAATTGCAGCTACTGAGCTCTGATGAGCTGTGGATGTACGCACCGATTGCTTACAATGGAGTCGATGTTGGGTTGAACCAGAAGCTCTCTACTCTTCTATGAACAGTTGATCGATTATTTGTGGGCAGCTGTTGCATACTTCTTTTTTTTTTCTTTTTCTTTTTGGTGTGGCTAATTTTAATCGATTTAATTTTTGCACAGAAATGTGGAGACCCAATACATGTACTTCTGAATGATGTACAATATATATTATGAGGAAAATATCAGCTAATTCTTTATATGGCTATATAAAAGCAGTTGCTTGAGGAAATATATAACCAGTTAACCACAATAATTTATATGCTTGTTTCTATGGATTTATGAATTTGTGGATTGTATTGGTGAATTTATGGTTCATATAGATTAGTGGATTGGATCATAGATCCAAATGGTATCTAAAATATTGGACTAATATGTAAACTTTTATAAAGTTTAGGTACTAAAATGTCATAATAATAAAAAGTAAGCACCAAAACATAAATTTTTTTTAATGATATCTTTGCCCAAACAAATATAGTTTAGGTACCAAATTATAAAATATAAAAAATATAGGTAGTCAACTCTAATTTACCAACAATCCATGAATTCAATTCAATTGGATTTGGATAAAATGGATTGGATTAGTTAAGTATTTAAGTGAATTAATTGAATTGGTGAATTTGATACAAAATGCCACCTCTATTTGTTTCCTATCAAGAGTTAAAAGAAGATATGATGGTTTATTATCTCATAACCTATTTCTTGCGTATAGGTTTCAACACAAAAACCAACCAATATATAGATCTATAAAATCTTATTTGATGGTTGTAATTAACGGAGGAGAGTTCAGATGATCCACACCATAAAAGGGATAAGAAGGAAAAAAATAGGAGTTTTGGGAGACAACCAACGAATTTGTCAGGGTGGCACAAAATAGGCAAGGATGAGGAAATCTTGGTTTTCTAGGATTTTGTGATGCTTAGTCCAGAACTTAGCATGTTTAGAATTTACAATCAATTGTGCTTTGCTTGGAAAGGGAGCACAAGTTTGGACTTTGGAGGCCAAAGAAATGAAGAACCACATATCAATGATAGAAAAAGTTATCTCAAGTTGTGACACGGATTGTTACTTCTTTTCATGGGATGTGACCTGTAAGTTGGTCATCTCACGGTTGTGTTACCACTAGGAAAGTTAGGAGCAAAGGAGCGTTTAATAATATCGTTGTTATTATAGGTTTGACTAATATTTTTTTCTACGGTTTGACTAATATTTCTATATGAATAAGTATATGGTACCACTCGTTACAAGTATGAAATATTGAAATATACTAGGCTTCTCTATACCTCGAAAAAGTTTCGCGCTTATCCAACCCAACAATTAAGTTGATCTATTATCTATAATAGCAAGAACGTAATAAAGTCGAGAGAAAAACTAAAAATGTGAAATCCGTGGATTCT